GTTTCCAAATCAATTGTTTGGTCATTCTTATAGATGTTATATAGCAGTGATGCAAGTATGCTTCCTTGCATCACTGGTTCAGCTCCATCTGTTGCTTCCATCTTCTGTTGCCTTATAGTCCTGTTGCCTTCATCTGCTTTTCTTCCCATCCAGTTTGACAAATAAAAAAGTATATTTTTGAGCAGGGTTCATTATCAGCTCTATAAGGTGTAGATCTTTTGTCATTTCTAGAGTCTTTGGGAGGAATCATTGGTAGGTAACCATATCGTAGACAGCTGTTAGGTCGACAAACACAACTCGTGATTTGGCCTCCTTCAAAACCATCCTCAATATGTTGACTTAGATTAAGCAGCTGGTTTATTGTTGATTTTCCAGGGTGAAAGCTGCCCTGTTCAGGGATTAGGTGTTTACCCGCATCTGGGGCAAGTCACTTCAGTATCAGTCGTTTGTAGAATTTGTACACGTGGCATAACAGAGATAAGTCTGAAGCTCTTTCAAACAGATGGATCTTTCCCTGGCTTTAGAAGGGCCACTACCTGAGCATGTTGCCATATCTTTGGAATGTTTTGACTGACTGTGCATGAGTTGTATAAGCAGAGGAGCCATTCCCAAGTCTGGGGTCCAAATTGCTTGATTTGTTTGATAAGTATGTTGTCAAGGTCAGCTGCTTTCCCAGTCTTCAGTGTGTTACTACCAGTATTCAGCTCCATCATTAAAGGGCATTTAAACCCAGGTCTTTGGAGTACTTGTACCTTTCCAGTCGGAGGGTTTTTGTGTTTGCTTGTTTGCTTTTGCTTTGGGGGCCTTTTCCATTGAGAAGCATCTGGTGAGCAATTTGGTTAGTAGTCACATTATGATGTTGATCTACCTTTCATGGCTTGTTGCCTAGTTTATATATTGTCAGCTAGGCCTTTTTACTATTTCACATCATATCAGTTGACTCAATCAGGGTCTCCTAGGATTTCCTGCATTCTTTTGTGATGACCAGGGATCTGGGTTTTCAGTTTCCCATAGAAAAACAGAAAAAATGACAGATTTCCCATTTTTATCAGAGAAAATATGGATTTTCCCTTTTAAAAGAGAGATCCATGGATTTCCCCATTTTGCAAAGAGCTCTGCAGGTGGGCAGAGTTCCAGCCTACAAGAGCTGTTTGCCAAAGGCGCGGGAAACCCCCAACACTGCCCGGGGAAGGGAGAGGGGGAAGGGTGGGGCCTGACATTCACACTTACTGGAGGCTGCTTCAGGCTCACTCTTCTTGCTGGAGGTAAGTGGGGCTTGAGGTTTGCAGGGCTGGGCTGGGGGGAGGGGTGGGAATCTGGCTAGGGGCTGAGGGAGCAGGGAGGTTTGCAGCCAGCTGGACACTCAAGCCGGGAGGGGGTTCACAGCCTTCCCACTCCCAGCCGGAGTTCTCGGCCAGCTGCAAACACCCGCTGCTCCTGCCTGGCTCCAAGTCTCCCCACTCCCTCAGCCCCCAGCC